CTGCCAAGCCAGCCAGTTGAGCAACACAGACAGAAATGTCTGTCTTTCCTTGGACAGACAAAAGAATCAATAAGTCTGAGATCTGTTGATTTACATCATCTAGCAGTCAAAGATATCTTAATTACTCCTTTCATATGTTACTACATACCTCCAGGAGACCATAAAAACTGATCATCTTAAAATGGACAGTGAGTGTGACCCAAAGTGGATGATCTCATGACAGCACCCCCAGAAGAGCTTCTGGAGCCCTGACCTTCAATCACGATCTCTTTCTGGAGAGATCTTTGGAAACAGTCAACTAGTAATAATTAGTAATGACTAAAGTACCTGTGTGCCTATCACTGAGAGAGAGTTTCAGAGGAAGGTAAAAAGTAGCGAATGTGTCCCAACCCACAGGGAGCCCACACAAGGGACATGAACTGGCTGTTAACAAGTGATGATGGACAGACACACTGATAGACAGATGCAACATGCATATGTCATTCATTCGGAATGCATTTTACATACTATTAATAAACATTTACAGTGTACCAAGCAATGAAATTGGTGCTGAGATACCTTAGTAAAATTTATATTAACGTTGTAAACACTTTAAACAGCATCTCTAATTAAATATTGAATAAATATTCCAAGTTTTTCTCTTTTGCCCCCTTTTTTCTTATAGTTTGACCAATAAATTGAAGAGGCACTGAATTCACATCTGGTGTTGAGGTTATCTTCCTATGCTATTTCAGTCAACATAACTTAAGTTAGATAAAACAATTTGATTTGGGTTCAATATGGTGCTATTTTGATCTGAAGGTCAGTCTACCAACAAGCAGGAACAGTTTCTCATTATTTTCCTTCACCACTCCATGCAGTCTTTACTGAAGTCTTTTGAGCAATGTCTGACCTCTGTTTCAATATTTCTCACAGATTTCACAGGCTGTCACCACTACTCAGCCATCACTAACACAGACAACTGTAATGGAAACGGTAACTATGGTGACCACAAGGGAACAAATCCTGGTAAAGCATGCTCAAGAGGAACTTCCACCACCACCTCCCCAAAAGAAGAGGCAGATAACTGTGGATTCTGAAATTAGGAAAAGGTGAGAGCATCTTATTTCTGGCTTTATCTGTAAATGAAGCAGGAAAACTCATTTATAGCTGTTTTGATGGGTAAGTTTTTACTTCAACAGTATTTCCAGAAGCCTCAGGTACCTATAATGTCCATTAATTTTGTGAGAAAAATTCCTAAGTAAATTTAAAAAATTGCCTAAGAAATCACTATCCCAACAAAAGCTGAATGTGCTTAAATGGAAATGCTGTTTTCTGGATTAAAATAAGAAACCCTATGGGATGAACTACCATGGACATATTTTAATACTGAAAGTTTTGGTTTTTCTTGTAAAGGGCCTGCTTGTTCAGTCCTTAGTTTTGAATTAAATGTCTTTTTTCCAGTAATGGAAAGTACATTTTCATGAAGAAGTACACCTATAATAGACAAGATCCATTCTGCCAGTTTACGAGAACATAATGTCTCAATCTGCGCATCCTAAATCAGGAGTAATTACAGAACAGATTTCCTGTTCTTTGATATTTATAAAGTCTTATCTTGAAGGTGTTAGAATTTTTAACTGATCTTTTTGTGGATATTCTCAACTACACAGTATAGCTAAATTAGGTATTATGTAAATCAATGGATCATTAAAATGATGGCAATAAAATTTTATAAATGCAAAGCTAGCATGAAAATAATAAAAATGGTACAATTTTCCTTTCATTCCAGTAATTGTAATTCTAAGATTAGGAAAGAACATTAAAATTTGCCTTATGTTTCTAAGCAATATATGGTTAGGAATGTATAGAACACTTGACATTAGAATGTGCTTATACCAGGATATAGAAGTAAGGGAAGAACACATACCTAAAAATAGTGTGTCAGATGTTCTAAGCAAAGGACAAAAATCTAGAAAAGTTATTCAAATACATTATTTGGGATTTTCAATACTTCTCTATTAATTTGTGATTTATGACTTGCTTTGATAATCTAAAGTAAATCAATGGGCCTATTCTCCCTGGTCTTGTCTGTCTGGATGAACAAATCCTCTAGTCCAGGGGTCAGAAAACTAAGCCCTACATACAAATCCAGACCGCTGCCAGTTTTCGTATGGGTCATGAGCCAAGATGTGTTTTTACGTTTTTTAAATGGTTGAAAATAATCAAAAGAATAATAATAGTTCATGATATGTGAAAATTATATGAAATTCAAATTTCAGTGTGCATGTCCATTGTAGGAGTGAAGAGAAACTTCTCCTTCACCCTGGAAGTTTTACTGAAAGATC